AGTAAATATTTCAGTTAATTTTGATTTTTAAGTCTTGTGTAATTTACATATAAATAAATAACCAAAAAATCGAACATCAATGATTTATTCCAAACATTAAAATTTTATTTAATTTGCATAACAAGAGATAGCAGTTGACACTTACAACGATTTATTAATACTTAAAGAAATTCTTATTGTTTTTGACGATTCGATTTTATCTTGTAAAATATTGGAATACCTAGTGTCAACACATGTTAATGAACTCTTTTTTTATAATTTTTAAAATACAAAAATTAAATCCGGGACCTTAAAATTAGTCTTAAAAAATACCACATTTTAACTTTTGATTTTCATTAATTTTTCATCTAGAAAACTCTATTAAACACCTTACTCAAATATTTTCTTTGCAATCTGAAGAAAAAAAAAAATAAGCAGTGGTAAAATTAAATTTTGAATTTCAACTATAACGTACCCATTGCTTTTTAAGATTAAATACAAGTTCCTACAAGTTTTTTGAACGTTTTCGTTAATTTAAATAAAAAAATAAAATAACAGAAGTGTATACGTACTTGGTGTTAAGATTAATTAACGTATAAAACTTGATTTAAAATTACAAAACATGTTATGACTTTAAATCATCAATCAGAATTGTACAAATTATAATTATGGAGTAATAATAAAAGTAACAGGAACCAGCAAGTTCTTGAATTTAAATATCCAGTAATGAAATAATAATGACTAAAACCGTGTCGACAATAATACCAATACTGTTTCGCAATCCGTCCACTAGGAAACTACGAACGTGTATTGCACCTAATCGTATGAATTAGTAGGCTTGTTTAGTCGTACCAACTCCTCACCAACACGGTAAAAGTAAAACTTTCAAGGTCTGGGTCTACCAAGGATTCGAACTAAATACTCCTCGCCGAATTCCAGCCATTGAATTTCTCACACCATTTCATCGCTATAAAAACAAGTCGACAAACCAAATCGGCATTAGTTCAATTCAGTCAGTCCCCGACTCGTCAACACAGACCTAAATCAAAATGTTCAAATTGGTGGTGTTGTCCGCTCTCGTTGCCATCGTGGCCGCCAAACCCGGAGGCCTTTTGGGGTACTCTGCCTACGCCCCAGCTGTAGCCGTCCCTGCTGCCGTCAGTCACCAATACAGAACCGACGTCATCAGCAAGCCTGTTATTGCCACCTATGCTGCCCCCATCGTGCAAAAAACAGTTGTTGCCGCTCCCGCCGTCTACAGCGCTCCCTTGGCTTACGCCGCTCACAGCGCCCCCTTGGCCTACGCCGCCCACAGCGCTCCTTTGGCTTACGCCGCCCACAGCGCTCCTTTGGCTTACGCCGCCCCTTACGCTCACGCTTGGTAGAGAGGACTGATGGAACTTAGCAAATTTATTTTATAAATAAATAAATTATTATTTTTCATTTCTTGTGTTTTCATTAGTAAAACTTACCTTCTTGTTCAGACTTCATGAGTGGGAACGCACGTAGTCACCAAAATGTAAAAGAAATTGTATGAGCCAAGGTTAAAACTAATATCCTGTTTTTTCTTCACTATTATTTTTTTAAGATATGTAATTACTAATTAGAATTACCTACAAGAACTTACGTTCAAATGTTTTGTGTCATAAACTAAAGAAAATCAAAATGGGTAAGTACTGAATTATTCCTATGATAGATAATAGTTATCTAACAAGAATTAATAATACTCTGTAAAAATAAATAATATTATTACATATGCATAAGATTTGAAGAGTAGGTACAAAAACGAACCTATAGAAAAAATCTTAAAATGAAAAGTAAATTAAAACATAGAGTATGTATAGTCGAACAAAATGAAAATGACGCCTCAATAAACCAGCCCCTGCTGGCTGCCGACCCTTCTAACCACAAGCAGGCAGGGTAGTAAATTATCGGATTACAAACTTGACGTAGTTTCAAGATAAATTCCTTTAGGAGCCGGTTTACAGAAAGCGAAATGAAAATTTAATTCATAATTAAACTAATTCTAATTAAGTTGCCATTTATTTTGCATTGACAAAGGTCAAGTTAAATGAAAATGTAATTTTTTAATGAAAAATTTAACAAACCATTTCTTGAAGAAAATTATGCATTAATTAAACATTGACGAAAAAACAAATCATCATTTAATAATTTTTTTACCAAAAAAAAATTATTTTATAAATCAGTTAAAATACAAAGTGATCCACAATGACTGAATATGTTGGCAATCCTGACAGTTTATCAAAAAAATGTATTACATTAATAATAATTTGTTTTCTTTGTAAATTGTTTTTGTTAAATTGTGTATTTATAAAACTAAACATTTTTATTTAATTTAAAAGTATTACAATTATCAAAAAATAAATTTTGTAGCAAAACTAAAATATTTGAAATAATTTTACCGTTTTTTTTTGGTTTTATTAAATAAATAATTTTGATTTATTTTCAGTGACAATTACAAAACTAATAGAAAACTTAGGGCGGGTTTACAGAACGTGTTAATCGTAATTATATTTTAATTCGCGATTAACTTGACGTTTGTCAATGCAAAATAAATGGCAACTTAATTCGAATTAGTTTAATTCTGAAGTAAATTTTAATTTCGCTTTATACTGAAAGAATTAAACCACTCGCGGTAAAGGCACACGTGGAATTAAACCTTCTTCTCGCAAATAAAGAATTCATTTGTTGTTTTACATAAAATCAAGTTTAAAATAAATTTGACGTGTGTCAATGCAAAATAAATGGCAACTTCATTCGAATTAGTTTAATTCTGAATTAAATTTTTATTTCGCTTTCTGTAAATCGGCTTCTAAAGGAATTTATCTTGAAGCTACGTCAAGTTTGCAATCCGATAATTTACGACCCTGCTTGCTTGTGGTTAGAAGGGTCGGCATCCAGCAGGGGCTGGTTTATTGAGGCGTCATTTTCATTTTGTTCGACTGTACGTTGTTGACATAGATGGTCACAAGTAATTGAAAAACACATTTCAGAAAGCCATTCGTTATGTAACAAGATTGTGAGTTTCTCAAATTATTATTTCTCAAAATATAAATAAAGTCTGTCTCTATTTGCTTGAATTTTATAGTGCAACTGTTACAATTACTGGCAAAAGATTAAAATAAACGGTTACATTAAATATTACAAGACGTTTATTTTGGAGTCAGAAAATTGAAAACGTACATCACAAACTACATAAGTATTTCCGTGTAAGTGGCCTCAAGCTCAGAAAACGTTAATCTTGTTTTATTATTCTTATTAAAATTATTAATTTTAAAATTTTAATTGTTATTAAAAAATAACAATGGTGTTACAACAAATGTCCAACGGTTAACGATTGCTCATAATTAAAAAGATTTAACAAATGTTTAGTAATCTATGAAGAAATTGAGGATATGAAATCATTTTTAATTAATAAAACTTCTATCTTTTAAAATCCTAATTTACTAAGAATAAATTACGAAAATTAAATTTAAAAACAAAATTTACTTACGAAACAGATTCGTAGCAAAAGCATCACATGCAGAGTAGGCAATTACTCGTAATAACTTCAATGTCAAATACATCATCAAGATTATAGTACACCCTCAATAAACGTATAATGGAACTTTTTTTCTTATTTTTAATCTAATTCTAAATAGTAGAAATATTTAGACCAATGATAAATATACATAAATTTAATTAAAAAATTAAATCAAAGCATTTTAATTTACTTATTACTTTACTTCTCTCATCAAGTCATCACTTATTTAGTATATTCAAAATATAAGACTATAAGGATTATGTTAATATACTTACATTATAATAAGTAGGAGTATATTTAACATTTTTTACTTCCCACAGGCACACAGGCTAACCAGCCCACCCTTGGCATTAATCTAATTAAGTGTTCTTTATTATACAATGTGTCACAACGCAGAAGTAAGATTTATTGTCCTTCGGTTTTATTATCTCAATTATTTATTCTTATTGGTAAAACAATAACCGTTGTCTTGTAATTAAATAGACAAAAATATGCAAAAAACAAATTATAATACATTTAGTTTAATGAAATAAATAACCTTGAAAGAAAAAACACTAACTTGAACTTTTCTCAAATGTTGAACAACAATTTTTATTGTCAGATAAATACTACTACTGGTAAACGAAATCACAAAAGCCAATCCTTTTCAAATTATAGGTATTCTTTTTCACAAATGAATCCAAAAATATTGAATTTTTGTGTGTTTAGTATTAAAATCACTTTATATTTAATACCAACATACTATGATGCAAAAGGAAAATATCTTTTCTGTATTTTTACTAACTTATTCAAAATCTTCCAAAAATCGTAGTTTTAGTGCTACCCTTATAAAATCAAAATAACTAACAAAAAATATTTCAAAATTTCATTTGAATCATACTTATTACATCTTGATGTAAATAAAGTTGTATTTGTTCAATTATTTGTGGATCATGTGTTACACATTAAGTTCAACAAGTTTAGCTCATTTCAATAAATTCACTTATACTATGTGTTCAATTAAATTTTTGATCATTACCTATGCCAATATTCTCTGTGACTTTGAAATCAAGTTGGCCACATTGTATATTATATACGATCGATACAAAATATATCTTAAATTTATTAGTGACAAATCCACTCTGGACTCAGAAATTTAATTGAACGAAATAAAAAATAAATTTCACAAAAATACTTACCTAAAAAAAAAAAACTTCTCAATCATTTTAACTGGCCACAAACAATGATTGAAAAAAAAAAACTGTTTTCTAATTACATTATCTTTCATTACCCTAATGTTTTTCTTGTAAACACTCATTAGAATAATTATAACTTAAGTAGGTCACTTAAAGGCAAAAAACCGCCACTGACAAAGCAAAAACATTCTTATTGTTTGAGTTATTTCACATCAAAAAAGATGTTTATCAAAAACAACATAACTTCAGCAGATAGAATATGTAGCGTTCGGGAAAAATAAAAAATTTCGCCATACATTTGCATCAAAGTACATACATGCAACTGATATTACAGTGGCATTATGCAACCGAACTGAAATGGGTGAAAGCATACATAACTCGTACGCCTTTAGAATGATATACCTTTATTACATATAAAGCAGTTACAGTTAGACAATTGCGTTATCAGATGAAATTTACTTTTCTTAGAAATTCCAAAACGTTCAACAACTAACCTTGCTTAATTTCGTCATTACTGTTATGTGTAACCGCTAAAAAAAATTATATAGTAGTGCGACAACCTTTATACACATTATCTTCTAAGGTAAAATTAATGACCTTGGATGTTATGATATGACGCAAACCAAAATTTGTTGGCTTACAGGATCAGGCATGCGGAAAATCACATTTTCAGGACAAAGAAGCGGCACTTTCCAATCGGTTTGTTATTGAGTGCAGTTTCAAAATACCTGTGGTGAAAAATGTAGCACTGATGTAAACATTTAATCATAACAAGCGCGGCATTTTAAAACACAACTTTTAATTTGAAATTTTCATAAATCACGCGATTTGAAGTTCAAGGTTTCGTCGAGAATATTTAAGTTTGCGTTTAACTGAAATTGTTAAAAATGATTTTACATTAATATTTATTTAGAAACAAATTGAAAGATGATCAAAGTGGTAATTTTAATGTCTCTTTGATGACACTGAAGGAAATTTCTTATAAATTATTTCGTACCTGTAACTGATAACGAATTAATAATCTTGTTAAAAGTAACAGGAAAATATTTTCGGCTGTCAGTTTAAAAGGACATCATCTGCCATTGATATTTACAACACAATAAGACGCTACAGAATCTGTCTTTAAGTCAACAACCTTTCACTATCACACTTTGTTGTAACCTTCACCTTCAACTTGAAATAGTGGGATTTCCTTAAACGTTATTCTTCACTTAATTCTAAATGTTCAGTGAATATCAGTGCATGAAATTACATTTTACTAAGCCAAAAATTTTAAATTAGTTACACGTTATCCACGCTACTAATCATGCATCAAGTTAAGTCTAGACGAGTTTCCAACGAATAATGCATACCTATGTTGATCATCATATCTGTCAACAAATGCAAAACTTTCTAAAAAGTGCAAAGTTATTGCCAAAACATGTTGCATGGGTGTGAGAATAGAGCATTTTTTGAATACAAATTTTGTTTTACTGTAGCTTAAAACATTATTATTTTTCTATCATTAAATTGTTCCACACGATTTTCATTCTAATGGACTTTTTTTGTATGAAGCTACAGACAAAAAAATAGTCCTTGAAAGGACAGACGTAAGATATTTTCAGAATTTTAAATGGTATGCCAAGTAAATAAGAAGAATTTGTTGACCTTAATTTGGATTCTTTAAATTTAATTAGACGTAAATAAATTTACAAAGAAAAGGTGTGTTATTTCTTAATTTATTGCCTACATTGTTACGATTTTGATACTAAAACCCACTTATTGGCACTTATTACTTATCTATAGATACAGGGTGTTTCACACAACTTTGCCTAATGTACGCACCCAAATATACAAAATGCACAAAACACTTGATACAAAAAAATACGCATATAATTATTTAATTTTTGAAAACCTATGACAGTAGTTGTCAAACTAATCACTGTTTCATTAATAGTCATAAACTGCAGTTTTCAGAAACAATTATCATTTGTTCTATCAAGAGACGGCATGAATATGATTCTAGTTTATCTATCTTAATCATTAACTAACTAAAAACGTTATAATTTTTTAAAGGGTGAACAAACTAGAGACAATTTTTCAAAATTTGTAATTGAGTTCGTATCGGAATATGTATTATTGATTGCAGCTTACAGGCGCAGGCCTCGTAAAATTATGTGAAACACCCTGTATAACTAATAAAATAGCAAAAGCCAATGTTCAATGATATTAGTTTTCAAGTAGAACAAAATGTTCTCAGTATGTAACAGTTCACAACATTTTTTGAGTCGAATTTTTTAGATAAATCTGCTTCTTCTTTGTCATTGTAGTTCTTTGTAATTTAAGATTTCTTAATAGGCAACTGCGAGGTCGAAACAAAAAAGTTCTAAGGTCATGTGAGCATGACTGTCTAAAACAATATTTTGTCTAAAAATCTAATTTAATAAATTTAAAAAATCTAATTTAAATAAATTGTGCGACAAAACTTTAATTTTAGAGTAGAACGCAAGTAGTAGGAGATTTTTCTATAAGTGTATGTATTAGTATACGAGTATTTCAGTATTTTAATCAAAGAGAAATAAAACCGAGGGTTTCCAATTTTTCTTTTTTTTTGATAACAATAAACTTTTATTAAAACCTGGTATCTCAAGTTTTTACGATTTTGAGTAAACCACCTTATACTGAAGAAAATTTGATTTCCCAGAAGTTACAAGACCGCGAATACCACAATACCTAAGACCCCAAACTCCAAAAAGTTGAGAAAAAATTTGAGATACGAGGTTTTGGCTTCGCACCGACGTTATTACCTTTTTAAAAAAATACACACGTTATACAAATAAACTTCAGTTTTACACAAAAAGAAGAAAAACAAAAAGGTATTCACGCAAGTAATAAATTAGAAAATGCCAAAGAAATAATTATTTAGAAAATAACAAAATATATTAAATAAATATTTAATACTTGAAACTATGTATTTATCAACAGGCTGCCCTAAATCCCCCCTGTTGCCATTTAATTTTCTCCCTAATTTCCCAATTACATGCTTAAATTTTTTAGATTATTGAAAAAAATAGTTGTTTAATTAAATATTCTACTTGGAGTCTTTTGTAGAATAGTCGATTTAAACACATTTATGATCAATATTATTTTTAGCAAATACCTTTTTTTTGCAAGGGTTTTCCTTAATTAACATTAAAGTTTACACCCAAAAATTCTTCAAGAGAAAAATTTCAAATCAAAACTTGCATTCAGAAGTCTTTCAAGCAAAAAATTAATAAAGAAAAACATGCCCTTTTAATCGTAGGTTTTCTAGATGTAATTAATATTTCATAATTTCTAAGTGGAGCAAGGTCAGTCTTCACGACAAATTACTCCAATCAAGAAACTATCGCATATCCTTTTAATGTTAAAAAAATAATATTCAAGTGCAATCCCATAAATAATTAAGTAGCCATTATTCCTTATCCGTTCATGTTTACTAGTGATGAAATAAAATTACGCATTATCCACGCAGTATTCATTCCATAATTCCAAAGAATTGCGTAAATGGTGAGCAACCGGGCCCCCTCTTCCTGCCGAACCCCCGAAGGTCGGTAAATTTTTTTGTGTCTGCGCTAAGGTATCACATCCGCAATATTGTAAACCACACAAGGTTTAGGTTGGGCGTAGCACATTCACCTTCTTGTGTATAAAAAGCTTTGATAGCCATCGTCTTCTTCAGTCCAGTTTGTCCACAGCACAACACAGACCTACAAACAAAATGTTCAAATTGGTGGTGTTGTCCGCTCTTTTGGCTGTTGCCGCCGCTCGTCCCGGACTCTTGGCTCCGGCTGTCTACAGCAGTGCCGTCGTGGGCAGTGTACCCACCTCCATCAGCCATCATAGTAGCTCGGTGGTCCACAGTGCTGCCATCGCCGCCCCCGTCGTCCACGCCGCCCCTGTTGTACACGCCGCTCCCTTCGTGACTGCCCATGCTGCCCCCATCGTTGCCGCTCATGCCCCAGTCATCTCCACTTATGCTGCTCACGCCGCTCCTCTCGTCTGGTAAAGCCGACGAAATTAGGAAAATAGTCATCTTCAAGCCTAAGAAACAGCAACCAGTCTGTTATCTCTGCCATATTAAATGCTCTCTACTGTGAAAAAATAAATATTACATCATTTTTTTACTATAAAATTTTTGTTTTTATTGTCCCTGCACTAAAATCAAAGAAAAACAAATGATCCAAAAGCCAAAATCTAAAAAGTCAGTTCAACATACATAATCTTTATAATTGGGTAAAAAAAAATATGATTTTAACTATTATGTATACTAATACATATTTTAAATGCTTGAAAACTTATTGTCTTTTCCAATGAAAATATTGTATTGATTGTAAAAGACAAAACTTTTTTTAGAAATTATGTAAGTACATATGCGAGTATACAAACTTTTCCCTTGCAAACAAAATTCAAAATACTATATGTATATTTTCCCTTATTGATTTTGTTGCTGACGCCTCGACGCTAAATTGCTATCAAAGATAAAATTCAATTTCGTCTTAATAAATAACTATTTTTGGCTACATAGCCTTGGTAGCTGAGGACAATAACTTAAAGAAAAAGAAGACGAAACCATTTTCATTTTTTTCAGTAACTGTAAAAGTCTTAATAAAAATTTGTGTGTGCACAATAACATTATTCATATTCTTTCTGTATATGATTTTATGAACTGTGACTTCTGATAATTTTTTCTGATGTGTTTCCTTCTTAGCTCTAAGCCCCTGCGTTTTGTTAGTCAATACCTAAAGCTCAGTTCTAAGTATAAGTTGAACCACTAAGTTTCTTAAACAATACTTTTTTAAACAATGGTATAAAAAATTCCTTTGTACACATAAAGTATGTAGGTATTTGTGACGTATGTATTTTATCCAAAAAAATTCAATTACAATGTTGTTATTTTGAAAATAAATTTGTTACAAATGTGACAATGTAGGTATGTAGATGGGTGTAACTTATTATATTTTTATTTAGCTATAAAAAACTCACTCGCCAATTGTAATTTTTTTTTAATTTTTGGTAGCCGGTTGCGAATTTTTGTAACCAAAAATAAATACGTTTTCACAAATTTGGTAAATAAACATTACCCCTAAACAAAGAAAACCAAATAAATTAAATTATTTTTTATTTATATCAATAAAACATAAAAAAATTAAACGACCTTTGGTTTACAGGATGATTCACGAAAAATAATGAGTCTGACCAAATTCTCGATGCAACCAACATTACATTACAAAGATTATTTGTAATAAATATAAAATCATAACAAGCACACCTACAAACTGTCAGTTTTGACATTAAAATAATGAAAAACAAAAGTAATTGAAATACCAACACAATAATAGGTATTATAAAATAAGAGTTACGGAAGGCACCCATTCAAGTTTCATCCTGTGAAACCCTTCTCTTTGATAACTTAACAGGAACCCAATTTGCTGAAAAACTAACTTGATCGTGTCAGAAAGATAAAAATAATCATTCTTTATGGATATCATTGGGCATCAGGCAGGCAGCTGTATTCTTCAAACATTCTCTATAAGCTAAAATCATGTCAGTCTTCTCATCATTGGAATAAGTCCACATTTTTCTCAGTTTATAATAAATTTGTAACGTTTGTCAAAAATGACAATGATTATATTTTAAATTAAATAAATTTTTTTAAAGTGTCGCAAAGCAACTTGCGTAAATGTAATGCTGGTTGCATCTAAAATTTGGTCAGGCTCATTATTCCTCGTTAATCACCCAGTATAAAATGTAACCTCATATTCCATTTAGAAAGTATAAATATATTTCTTGGTGCGGTAACTGTAATAGTGACGACCGCAGTTGTACTATTAAAAAATAGATGTCAGGTTAATATTATTTTTACTTGTTTTCAAATGCTACATTTTTTATAATTTTAAAATTTAACAAAATATTTTAACAAGGTCAACAGTTGGCCCCAAATTTTAATAATTGATCTTTATTACAAATCAAGTGTATTGTATAATTTATTTAGTGCATTTAAGTATGTAGATACAGGGGTGATTAAAAAGCGTCGAGTGATGATAAAGGACCTCCAACTGAGTTAAAAGTTCCCATGACAAAAAATTGTTTGAGTCTTTTTTCACGACATATGTATACCTCTTCAAAGATTAGACTTTGAATTGTTTTAGCCGTTTTGATTATGTAATTTTAAATTTAGTTTGCGGAAACGGCAGATCTTGTAAGACTGAACAGATACCTGTTGAAAAAATCACCAATTTGAGTCTTATGGTGTACAAAATATTTAACAAACTAGCAAATTTAACAATAAATTAAATCCGACAACATATGAAACAAAAGAGCTAAGATGCCTAAGTACATGATGACAATATGAAAATTAACAGTTGTTTTTTTCTAAAAAAAAAAGCTTGAAACAAAAATTTGAATTCATTTTTATGCTTATCTGATAGTCTTCTATCAACATTCAAGAGTTGGTCCGACATTTTTGAATCACCCTGTATACTAAAAAACATTATTAATAAAATATACTCCTAAATTTTAATGTTTTTAAATCATGATTTCTGTATGAAATAAACAACACCCGGTTTGAGTCAATTATAAATTATTGACGTATTGTATGTGCATAATAATTAGGTATTAATCAAAACCTTACAAAATGTGTTTTTTTTTAATTAGATTAAATTTCATTATACGGAAAAATATAAGTTTTTCCTGCATAATAATTAATTAAAGTTAGCTGAAATGAAAGTGTTAGAACGAGCTGGTCCGTTTTTTGTGCGTACTTATTTCATCTGAAGTTACACTTATAGTTATGATTGAATAAGGAATGATTTTCAGTGACAAAAAATGTGACCATTAATTTGGGTGCGACTGGCGACTCCTCGTTATTTAAATTCGGAATAGCTTTGATTACAAAAAATAAATTTCAAACTAATGCTTATACAAAAAACGTGTATTTATAACATCAGTGTAGGCAAGAATAACCGAAAACTAGTTCTTTTGGCGTCCGGAGTGTATACCAATTAAATCTTTTAATGTCAACGTGCTTTATATTACTCGACTTTTCTCATCAGAACAGCTTCGTTGTCCTTCATACCACACCCAATCTTCTATAAAAACGCAGAAATATATTGGTGCATATTCAGTCTTTACACAGCACAGACCTCCTTTAACATGTACAAGCTGGTGGTGTTGTTCGCTACTTTGGCTCTTGCCTGCGCCAAACCTAGCATTGGACATGGGGCAGTTTCATACACAGCCTCCATCCCGACTGTATCCGGGGCTGTAAGCCACCAGAGCAGAACCGATTACGTCAGCAGCCCCGTCGTAACTTCTTACGCCGCCCCCGTCGTCAAAACCGCAGAAGTTGTCGCCGCCGCTCCCATCGTCGAAACCGCCCCTGTCGTAAAGACCACCCTTCACGCCGGGCCAGCCGTCACTCACTACGCCTCCGTACCAGTCTCTGGAACGGCATACACGAAAAACGTCCACTATGCCGAAAATGACGTAGTCACTGGATACACCGCTCAGATTTACAAACCTAATTTGGCTGCTTTAGCCAATACAATCGAAGCTGCTGCCCCCGTTCAAGCCGTCCACACTGTTGCTCATGTTCAACCTGAAGTCGTTGTCAAAAAAGTCGAATTTGAAACTCCTGTTGTAAGCGAAGTACGCACTCCAGTCGTAGCTGCTGCTCCTGCCGTTTCAAGCTACTCATATTCCGTAGCCAGTCCAGCGGTGGAAACTAAAGTTGCAGCTGTTCCTGCCGCCCCTGCCGTCTCCTACTCTGTACCAGTCTCTACTGTCGAAAGCAGAGTTGCTGCCCCCGCCGCTACCAGCTACTCTTACTCTACTCAAACTAACACTGCTACCCCTGCTAAAGTCGTAGCTGCCGCTCCTGCTTTTTCTAGCTACTCCTACGCTGTACCAGCCCCTGCTGTCGAAACCAGAGTTGCTGTTCCTGCCACCGGCTACGCTTACAACACCGAAGCTAAAATTGCCACTCCCGCAACCAGCTACGCTTACTCTACCGAAACCAAAGTCGCTGCTCCTGCTGCTGGAGTAGTAGCTACAGCTCCTGCCTTCTCCAGCTACTCCTACTCGGCTCCTGCCGTCCCTGCAACTAGTTACGCTTACTCCACTGAAACTAAAATCGCTGCTCCTGCTGCTAGAGTAGTGGCTGCTGCTCCCGCCGTCTCCAGCTATTCTTACTCAGCTCCTGCCGCCAGAGTTGTAGCTGCCGCCCCTGCAACTAGTTACGCTTACTCCACTGAAACTAAAATCGCTGCTCCTGCTGCTAGAGTAGTGGCTGCTGCCCCCGCCGTCTCCAGTTACTCCTACTCGGCTCCTGCCGCCAGAGTTGTAGCTGCCGCCCCCGCAACTAGATACGCTTACTCCACTGAAACTAAAATTGCTGGTCCTGCTGCTAGAGTAGTGGCTGCTGCTCCTGCCATTTCCAGCTACTCTTACTCAACCCCAGCTATTGCCACCAGAGTTGCTGCTGTAGCTCCTGTTGCTGAATATTCTGCTGCTATCGCAACTCCAGCTATTTCCACTTATGCCGTTCAAGCCCCGATTTATGGAACGAGAGTAACTAGTCCTGTTGTAGCTGCTAGAACTATTAGCGTGCCCTCAAGCATTGCGACTGAAGTACGTCAATCTAGCGTCAATCAATGGTAAATGTAATGACTGATTTTACAGCATTTTTGTTGTGAATTAATTTAATATTGTATTATTGTAAATACAAAATATAATAGTCCAACATCTACCAATTGTCTTTTTCTGAAACAGGCTGTAAACGTGAACAGATTTAAATTAAAAATAAAGCACATGCACTTTGTGTGTTTTTTTTTATTCTAATAAAAATAACAAGATTTCTAATTTCCAATTTAATATTATTTACTACTTTAGAGACCCATTTAAAGCTTTGACATTTTCCCCAAGATGTTTCTTAATATTATTGTTTTCGCGGCTTTTGTAAAATGTATCTCGTAAAAATTGCTTTTGTATTTAAAAGTGCATTTTTTTGAGACACAACATTCAAATTATGTAAAAACGTAATCATTAGACATCTACTTATGATATAGAACTGGGTGGAGTGGCACCACAAATTTGGCACACAATGAATAATGAAATACATAGTTTGATAAAATGTTTTCAGTTTGATTAATAATAATATGTAATCAGTCAGTCTACTAAAAAAAGGTAGCTTCTTTTCTTTAATAAAATAAATGCATCCCATCGAAATCTGTACCAATGTCAACATCAAACTTTAGAAAAAAGTAGTCGAACACAGCGAAGGTCGACAATTTACGAGTAACTTGAACTGGTCGACATAACCGGCCCAATTTTTTTTTAAATTACATTTATTATTCTTTACAACTCTTATTATTGTTTAAAACTAAATAGTGGGGAACCGCATATAAATCTTAAACACTTCCCATTAAAGCATGATGGTTGTTTGTTACGAGACGAAGAAAAATTCTTTGTTAAAGACATTCAAAAAGATAACTTAAAAATTGCGTTAATTAAGAATTTTTTTTCAGTTTAATCTTCTTGTTGTCTTGACCGCTTGTTCTGTTAAATAGCTATTCAATCGCTGTTCTATTTCGAATTACCTATGGTACGGTAGCATAAATTAGAGTAGCTCAACCATGAACGACGTGTCTATTGATTTTAAATGCCAATGCTTAAAATTGCAAATTAACTTTTTGTAAATAAACAAATATTTATACAATAAAATAATTATTCAAATAATAAATTAATTAATCAAATTTGATCAAAACACTTCCGTCCATGGAGGTATAAGATTCCATCATAGTTTTATTTAATAGTATATTAAAGTACAAGTTGCAGAAGGTATCTATCTATTCAAGTCCAATTTGAAATTCTGAATGGAGCCAAGTAACAGGCTAGTTGAGGAACAAATGAGTGCTTGAAGAACCTTCTGCAACAAGTGCTTTATACTATTTTTTCGAAAATTTTAATTTTTTTTCTAGAGAATTTTGCGACGGTTGGCGACATTTATGTGGAGTAATTTTAGGCGGCTGTAAAAAATAAAAATAATTTTTAAATTTATATTTTTAATATTTATTATTTATTTTTCACATTTGAAAATGAATAGTGAAGAAAGTTCGTCACTAAAATTAAATTAACGCCAACGACTTATTAAAGCACTCAATAGACTGGAATAGACTTATTCTGAACGCAAAGTAGAAAAAAGAAATTCTGAAAAAAATAACAATTAAATCAAAATAGTTTATTGAAATAGGTACTTATATAAAAAAAAGTACCGCTGCCATTATTGCAGAAAAATTGCAAATTTTCAACTAAAACTTACAATTTTAGTTTCAAACGACAATCATGATGACAATAAAGAGTACCTAGCTTACATTGACATTTTTTGAATTGACAATAGGTCATTACAGCATACCAAAAAAAATTCCACTGACATTTCCAGTCTTTTTTTGAATACAACTATTGGTTCTAGTGTTCTAGATAACACACTGTATTTTGAATACAGTATTTTATACTCGTGAAAACACGGGATAACCTGAGTATGTGGGTTATCTTGCGTTAACCCGCCAGAATTTACCTTAAGTTCCTTTATGACGTTTCTAAGCATTTTTTTTATATTATTGATAGTTGGCACTACTAATTATTGGAAACGTCATACCATAACCTTATACAAACGCTTTTGTTACTTGTGTTTTTGCAAAAAAATATTGGTTATAAGTGTGAAGGAAACTACAAACAGTTATTTATTTCTTAATTTCTTTGACCGGAAGCTGTTAAGTAAGTTATTTTTATCCCATTTTCTACACTTTATAAAAAAGCTTTCTCGAAAAGTAATATCAAATTTTTTGGTGATCAACTGTTGATCACTCGTATCATTTCTCATTTCTCTCTATAAAGATGAAAAGTAGACTATCTTGTTTACTAATATACAGCACGTTTTGCCTACATAAACGTACGATACCAAAAATTATTATTATACAGGCTGTTTCACATAATTTTACGAGGCCTGCGCCAGTACCTATAATACATATTCCGAATACGAACTCGATTACAAATTTTTGTTGAAGTAATAAAAACTAACTCTATAGTTTCCAGGAACGTCGCCGATTTTGTTTATCGTTTCTGCGAAACCCCCGGCTGGGTCGATTTCCGGT